CAGCCAATCCCTCGGCCAATGGCTTGTATTAATTTTTCAGTAAATTAATTAAATAATCATCGATCGATACTTCAATTTATATATACTAATGGATAAAACATTTCGGCTAAAGCTTATTGTGACATGAATTTGGAATAATATCTTAACTTTGAATTATCGGTTAACCGGGGGTATTTAACTTCAAAACCGTAACCGTACCGTGAAGTCGTGAACCGCTTTATTCTTTTAGTTGGTTAACCGTACCACAAGTCTTTAAAAACACGGTGTGGTTAACCGAAAAAAACTCCGGTTTTTCGGTTATTTACCACGGTTAAGCAGTTACGGTTTTTCTTGCCCACCCCTAGTTATGGCGGTTGAGAGAGGCACCAACATAGCTGCCGATGAAGAAGTGAAAAAATAGGGATTTTTAGTAAAACCTATGCTCTTTATCATGGTTGTCATGGCGCATGGCGCAACCCATGGCGCACAGGTCATTTTCCATGGCGATGGCGATGGCGCAAATATGGCGTTGCCACGTGACAAAAAAAAAATTCAAAACGAATAATAGTTAAAGTTTACCCAAGTTTACCCAACCACCAAAACATGATAAAATAGTTCAAAGTACTTCCAAAAAACATAATATTCAAAAAAAAAGTTTCTGTCTTGCAAAATATGTTAGGATTTAGGCTTGTTAGCTTGTTTTTGTTTGATGATTATGGCATAATCATCATCAATCATCAGACTCCTCATCATCTTCGTCTGAATCTGATAGCAATGGCACACCATCCTCATTCATTTCATCCTCGGAGGGATCTGCAACCTCGTCCGTTTCCTCCATTTCCTCCGCCTCCTCTGTCTCCTCTTCGTCGTGCAGCTGAAGTGTTGATGCCCTTGATGTTGTTGCTCTTGTGTTGTGATTTGCTTCGTTAACACCAACAACTTCTTCCACTACGTCCCAGTTTTCCATTTCATTTTGCTCAGCAGCTTCATCAATCCATTCATTGCAATCGTCAATGTCATCCAAACATACTTTCATTTTTTTGAAAGCTGGATCTTGAAGACGTTGATTCTGCCGAATGTATACCAAATCATTCATTTTTTTTGGCAGCAACCTTGTCCTTTTCTTGCTTTGAACCTAAAACAAGTAGATAACAAATCAACTACGGATAACTTAAATAGTTGAATTAAATATGAAAGGCAGATTTATGAACTTACATTTTCAAAAGCACTCCAGTTTCGTTCACATCCAGAAGCACTGCAAGTTAAACTAAGGATCCGAACATCAAGATGTTGCAATGTAGGAGACGAGGAGCCATTTGAAAGCCACCAGTCAACTATATTTAAAAATTCCAACCAAATGCTAATTAATAATGTAGAAAACAATACTCAGATTTCAGGATTTAAAATTTCAGCTTTCCATTCCAATTTTGCAGTCAATTACAGGCTACAGCAAGTGCTAGCCATCATTTAACACTTAGTCACTCACATTTGGTACTTAAAATAATTTACTAATCAAGTAATCATACATTCATGCTTAAAATATTCTGATTTAAGGTTTTCAGATTCCATTATCCAGACAGTAGGTTGTAGGATAGTAGGTTGCAGTTTAGGACTTTCCAGTTTCCAAAAAGTTTAAATCCAGTATCTATAAACCTACAAAATTAGTTCTAGCAGAAAGTTAATTAAAATACTTAAATAAGAAAGAGAAGACAGATTACAGTTTGCATACCCGGTGGTTGTTTGTCCCTATTGTTCATTGCCATTTTAGTTCTGAAACTTCCTCTACCATTTGTATAGTTTGATATCTCAGTTGAGAACTCTACACTCTCTCCAATGCTAGTGGGCAACATCTTCTCCACACACTTTATAAAGTCATCGCATACTTCTTCATCTCCGAGGATTCGCCGTGAATTAGGGTAGAAGAATTGAGGATTGAGATAATACCCCGCTGCATGTAATGGAGAATGCAGGTTCTCATTCCAACGCTTATCTATTATCTTCCAAAGAGGCATGTATTTCTCTTCTTTACCTCCCAATGTGTTTTTTATTCCCAATTTTGCTCTCTCCATAGCCTCATAAATAAAGCCCATTGCAGGCAACTCTCCACCCGTAATTCTCAATACCTTCACTACTGGCAATGAAATCTTCATAACATAGGCAACACTCCTCCAAAAGCTTTGACGATAAATTGACTCAAAACAAGATTGACATTCCGTAGTTTTTGCAAACTCACTTTGATACCATTTCGGTGAAGCAAACATCTGCCTCAATGCCTGTTTCTGCGTGAGAAGACTTTGAAGAGTCAGAAAGTTAGTGGCAAACCGTGTGGCAGCTGGTCTAACTAACTCTCTACCCTTGGTAAATTCTTTCATTAAGTCATGAATAAGGGTATGGCTGTAGATGTAGGTAGTAATCCCTTGTGCCGTCTTCACAGTTCTTCTAACTATCGGCATCTTCTTTGAAAAGTCTTCTAGAACAAGGTCAAGACAATGAGTTGCACACCCCGTCGTGAAGATATGTGGATATCTTTGTTCTATCTTCCTCTTCGCTAATCCATAATTTTTAGCATTGTCGGTTACAACTTGTATGACACTTTGAGGACCTATTTCTTTTATCCACTCATCGAAAAGCTTGAAAAGTGCTTCCCCCGGTCTTCTTGTAAGATGAAGCATCTACGGCTTTCATAAACACCGTCCCTTTGCTAGAATTCACGCAAAAGTTCACTAGAGTTCTATGCCGTTTATCCTGCCACCCATCTGACATAATAGTGCAGCCATCTAATTCCCATAATTTTTTGTGCTCACTAACCACAAGATCTGTTTTTGCGACCTCTTTTCGCAAGAACGTCTCTCTCACTTCATGATACGTTGGTGCTTTAAACCCAGCTCCAAACCTGCCAATCTTTTCTAGTGTTTCTTTCCACAAAGGGTCACGAGCTACATTAAAGGCGATGCAGTTCCTGGACATCCACAAACAAAGGCTTTGAGCATACTCATCCCTCTCTTTTTTCTTCATGTGTGATGGGATTGTTGTTTGCGTCAATGCTTCCTTCTTACGTTTTTTTTTGTTGGATATACGAAATTATCCATAGGCCCAGTCACACCACCTCCCTCTGCATTTGACTGAGAACCAGTTATCTCAACATCATCATCTCCAATCACCCTATTTGCACTTGACCCACCGGACTGCTGTACTGTGTATGTACTTCGAAAGGTTTGTTCACACACATTTTTTTCTAAGTTAGCAGCAGATTCTTTCAAGACTAACGCCTGCAGTTCAGCCTTCTTATCAGCGGGAATGCGTTCACACTGTGTTGTGTTGCGGTGCTTCCCGGTCAAGTGTTGTTTAAACCTTGTAATTCCACCTTTCGTCACGTGCCCACAGTAGTTGCAGCGCAATTCATTGTTGTTGTTTTCTTTCACTTTCTGACAGAGCTCCTTAGCAAAGGCAACTGACATCCTTTGCTCTGCCTCTTCGGTTACCTAAGATAAAAAATATCAATGAGCATCATCTAATGTAAATTAAAATAAAAATGATCAATGTTACCTCTGCCAACAGTATGAGTATTTAAAATCTCAACTCTCAACTATTATAAATTGATAGACAATTACACATAAAGCAAACTATTAAAGCATCTTACAGTGTAAAGTTTAGTTTAAACTCAAAATATAAAGTTTAAACATTAATTAACTTTATGTTATACATTCATAAACACTTTATCTTTAAGTTTAAACTTTACATAAATTATATACCATAGAAAGTCTCTGTTTTAGACTTTTAGTTAATCCATGCAGGCATGCACATTTAAGTTTAGACCATAGAACTTTTCTTCATTAATACACAGCATTAAAGAGGTAGTAGTACCTTTTGTAGTTGGAAGAAGTCAACGAGAATCCCCTTGTCATTTGCCTTTTCGGTTGTCGCAGAGCTTTTTTCCGTTGCAGCAGCTTTAACTTCTCACGTGTTATCACTTTGTTGTGTTTATTTATTTGTAGTTAGGGTTGTTGTTAGTATTATGGGCTAAAATAGTAAGTTTATGATAGAGTTTTATTGTTGTTATGGGCTAAAATAGATTGTTATGGCCCAAAAATCCACAACTCACAGCTCAAAAAGCGGACCCATATTTTAAAAAACCAGTCGCAGCGCCATGGCGAAGGCGCAGGAATGGCGAAGGTGCAGACATGGCGACGCCATGTGTATACATCTCGCCACAGCCCGTTTTCATGGCGCATAGGGTATTTCGCGCCTCATGGCGCATGGCGCGCGCGCCATATTGCGCCATCGACAACCATGCTCTTTATACCATGTGGAAATAATAATCAGGTTAACGACTAGTTGAGGTTTTGGTTGATTCCCTTTTAAGATTTAAACCATTGAAGTTGGGAGTTAGCCCCTATAAAAATCAACACTTGGTGAAAAATATTTGTTTGCTAAAACTTCAGGTGATGCTCTTCTTGAATTTAAGGAGATCATATTAGTGGATTTGTAAATCCTTAGAGAGGTGCCTTGAGTAGAGGACTAGGACTAGCCGAACCTTTATAGAATAACTATGCACTCTACTTGTTTGTTTTGTTTGTACTTTTTGTGAACACATTTTGCTGCCCACTTTGCAGTCTTCTATTTTGCCCATTAACTCTACACAATACTGTAGACAACCTTGTAGAACACTTCACCCATATGGGTAAGTGAGTCTCCTTATCTACCAAACCTTCTTGTTGCAGTCACAACTTACTACTTGGCTCAAAGTTTTCCAGCTTGCTTGATTGTATTCCACATTATTTTTAAATGCACATAGTTTTTAGGACATTAAATTCACCCAGCTCTTAGGTGTGTATGTACTTTTAGCGAGAGTATTTAAAATTGGTGCATAATATTTCTCTACTAACCAAACCAGAGAACTTCTACATTTATGTCCTACTTTCCTCCTTTCTATGTCTTCCTAACATACATTAGATAAATATGTTAACATTGATTTGTCTTTTATTAACCCTGTGTAATTTGCCAAGTATCATTATCTTTTCCATCAGGCTCATGGTTCGCCTGAATGGCTTCAGCCCACATATAACCTTGAAACACAGCTCACTCAAATGATTGGTGATTATTATGTACGGGAGAGGAATGGCCTAGATAATCTATGGATCTTGAAGCCGTGGAACATGGCAAGAACTATTGATACAACCATAACTGGCAATTTATCTGCTATTATCCGTCTCATGGAGACTGGGCCAAAAATATGCCAGAAGTATATTGAGCACCCTGCTCTGTTCAAGGGGAGGAAGTTTGATCTTCGTTACATCATCTTGGTTCGCAGCATAAACCCATTGGAGATATTTCTGACTGATGTATTCTGGGTATGTAAAGTCCTGGGTATTCCTGCATTGCAACATAATTTTCCTTTCTCACATTTTGGTTGAGTAGTTTCTATTTTCTTCTCAGGTTAGGTTAGCAAACAATACTTACTCTTTGGACAAACACAGCTTGGATGAATATGAAACTCATTTTACTGTAATGGTAAGTAGTAATCTACATCCTTGATTGAAATTTCCTAATGGAAGTGCAATTTTTTTCATTGTTTATTCAGTAAATCAAGATTAGTTATTTAATTGTTAATAATAGCAAGTATACAACTAGGTCTAAATTTTAAATCACTGAGATTGAATACTTCAACTAAGATTTGATTTCCCATCATCATCCACCGATATTTGTTTCCTCCAAACACATAGCAATGGAACGAAATACTAGGGACGAGAAATGCAAATTTCTAGACACTCAGCCCATGTCACGTTTGGTTGGCATCAAATCCATTTTAGGTATCCAACATTATATTATTTATCTAATTAAAGAATAGTTTTAACATCATATTCTTTGCATCATCTTCAGAATTACCGAGGAAGATTAGACCACTTGAACACCCCAGATTTTGTGAATGAGTTTGAACGAGAGCATAAAGGTGCTGAGTTCTTACTACCCTCCTACACAGATTTGATTTTCTCAGAACCTCGTATTATGTTATCGTCTGGATTTTGTAGTTTTTCATGACCCCATGTTACCCACCTATATGCAGTAAAATGGACTGATATCCATATGAGAGTTAGGAGTATGATTAGATCAGTGTTTGAATCTGCTGCATCAGTGCATCCAGAGATGCATCATCCCAGATCTCGGGCAATGTATGGTGTTGATGTGATGCTTAGTTGCGATTTTGTGCCTAAACTACTTGAGGTCAGAAACCTCTTATCATATGTTTTTCTATCATGCTTCTAAGCAAGGTTGTTAAAATCGCCATCTAACTCGCTGAATCGTACGATTTTACGATCAGAAGAGGGAGGGTCGAGTTGGATCGCTGCTAGGATCGGAAATAGGCCTGGGATCGCCGGATCGACGAGTAGAAACGTAACTCGTACGAACCGTCAATCTAATCGAGCTGTGATTTCTCAGAACAAAAAACGGGAAACGAATGCGGACTGATGTCTGGAACGGCGAGTTTTAAAAAAAGTAAACATCGATCGATGCCTTACGATGAAGCCCAAACGCGACCTGCAGCGTTAAGCTTCCCTGCTTCGTCAGCTTTAAATCACTGTTCCTCTTCGTTTTCTTCGTCTCTTCTCTGTTCTCGCTCTGTTCTGTGTCGTCCGCTTCGTCCACTTTTGTTTTTTAAAATCGTTCGATTCCTTAGTAGTAAACTAGGTTTAGTGGTTCAGTTCTGATAGCATTCATAAGTCATGGGCTCATGGCAACTGGGTTTATCTTTTTATTAAATCGTCCCCTTCAAATGTTATGTTAGGTGTTTTATATTATTGCTTTTAGTCTTGACATAATGTTATTAAAATTATAATTATATTATTATTAATTATTAATATATATTTTTTATAAGATTTAATATTAATATCAATTTGGTGTTTACATAGAATATAATTGAATTATATATATGGCTGTGTGTGTGTGTGTATTGCCTGGTAGGATCTTACGATCCGAGTTACGATCCCCGAGTTATGATCTCCTAGACCATGTCCGATCCGTGCTAGGATCTCGAGTTTAACGACATTGCTTCTAAGGCTTAGTAATTTGAAAAAAAGTCATCTTTTGTCTATAAATTGATGCAGTTTGGGAAATGTATCCCGAAATTGTAAAAACATTTCAGCGGAGCATATTATTGATTAGTTGGTAAAAATTGTTTCTTGAGAACATTGATAGAATGCGATGTATATGCTTGTTTCCAGGTTACCTACTGTCCTGACTGTGCCAGAGCTTGCAAGTATGATACAGAAGCTGTGATTAAAGGAGGAGAACCTGTGAAAGGACACATGTTCTTCAATTACGTGTTTGGCTGTCTTTTTCTCAATGAAACTAACCATGTGTCCCCGTTGTAGGCAAGTTTGCTAAATTTGTCAAATACTCTGTCCCAATTTGCTGTCTTAGTTACTCATCGGTAAAACTGCATTTCGTTCTTACTTTGTTTTCTCTAATATCGTTATCTAGTTAAATTGTCATGACACTGGTTGTTTTGTTGAACTTCGATAGTGTTTTTTATTGTGCAAGTCTCTTTTATTAAATAGTACAAAATTGAATCTAAAATATCTTGGCTCTTGCTTCATTGCATGCTGAAGACACATAAAATGGAAAATGTTTTTTTTTGTTAGCAACATTTGTGCATTTTTTAACCTGAAAGTAGTATGTAATACATACATACTGTAAGAATAACGTTATCCAACAATCCACAGTTGGATAATTCTACAGTTTAGTGGATTATGATTTATTTGGATCAATGTATCATGTTAGTAGATAATCTGCTCAAGTAAGATGATAATTATGATTAATATTAATACTATTATAGTATTGAAAATATTTAGCTGATAACTTTCATAAATGAAATGCTAAGGAATGAATGCGATGAAATGAATGAGTTCAGTAAACTAATGTGTATGACGTAAGGGGTTAGGTACAGACGCTTCGTCCATGACATCAAGCTATCTTAGATGCTTGAATATGTTCCATGATATGATGTTAGAGAACAATTTTGGTGGACACCCAATCAACTCAGCCATATTTCCCATCATGTGACGGATAATTTGTTTTGCCTTATTTGCCTTGAAAACCATTTCATCTCTTTTTAGCATGTACTTTTGTTTAAACTTCTCACTCTCTCTTTTGAATGTCCAACTTAGGGATGGATCCGGTTCTGGTCCCCCATATTTAAGCCCGGAACCGACAAGGTAGTATACGGGTCTATGCCTCGGGTACCTGGCCGACCATGAGCCGTTTTTAAAATAAGAAATGCTACGTATTAAAAAATGAAATGTAGATATATTTCAAACATCACATTGACTTGGATAATTACACATTTATCAATTACAATTGAGAAGAGTTTAAACTTTGAATACATAAAGTAATTGTATGAATTGCTTTTAGAGTCGGTTGTCATTTTCTCCATGAAGTGGCGGTCCAATGTTATGTTAACTTGTGTTATATGACGGGTCTTCAACCAATTATGGAAGCAAATGAGTGTCTCAAGAGATGAAATGCTCACTTGTTTTATAATCAGCCAAGACGTTGTCGGCTTCGCTAAACTCTTGTTTCACGACAATTGTTGAAATCGGTATTGACAACACTTGTTTGGCCATTTTTGATAAAATAAAGAACATCCTTTCGTGGGTCTTTCACTAATGGAGAATGTCAGTCGCTCCCTTCATTAGATATAAAAAAAGCTCATTAATTGAGCTTTGTGCAAGGATAGGAGTATATTTACTTTTTTCAAAAGATTAGATATTGTAGATTTCAAGACATTTTCTTTCAGACAAAAAGTAGTTGGTTTCAGGGGAGGTGCTAGTAGGGATGGATCGGTCCCGGGAACCAGCCCGGCCCGCCACTGTGCGCAGGGGCGGATCTAGCATTTGCATTGAGGTGGGGCCAAATTTTAACTACGTAATTTAATTTGCAAGAAATGTCAAAATGACAAGATGTAGTTAAATAATTTTACAGAAATGTCAACGAAAAAAATAAATATTACAGAACCGAAAATTTAATTATCTTAAAAGAGCCAAAGATACCGAACCGAAATTGGCTCGGTTACTGAAATGTTCAGTGCCAATTTTCAAGTCGATTTCTCAAAAATCAATTTTCTTTTGACACCATAGTCTATGCTCTATGTAAAAAAGTAAACTAATTAAATTTCACCTACCAAGTACAATGAATTGAACTTATTAATTTTTCAGATTAGGTTTGGACTCGGGTCGGGCCACCCGGCCCGTGGACCGGCCCGGCCCGCTACTGTGCGGGACCGGGACCGGCCCGGTTCTCGGGTCCGGGTCCGGGTCGGGCCTAGGCCCGGGGGGTAGGGCGGGTCCGGGCTCGGGTCTCAATTTTGGTGAACCGGTCCGGCCGGGTCGGGCCCGGGCCCGGGCCAAATTGATTTTTTTTTTATTTTTTTTTTCATTTTTGGGGTTCCACTCGGGTTGGGCTTGATGGGTAGGATGGGTTTGGGGGGGTTTGGGAGGGTGGGGGTGAGGGGGGGGGGGGGTTAGGAAAGCAAAAAAAAAATGCAAACCGGAGGCCCGGACCCGGACCGGACCCGGTGGCTACCCGGTCCGGTCCCGGGTCCACCATTTTTGAACCGCCGGCCCGCCCGGGCCTAGGCCCGACCCGGACCCGGCCCGGACCCGAGTCCACCCCTATTTCAGAATTCAGATCAATATTTAAAAGTCCAATGAATTGAACTAATTAATTTTTCAGAGTAATATTCGAAATTCTAATGAATCGAACTGATTAATTTTTCAAGTTAATATTCAAAAGCCAAATGAATTGAACTAACTAATTTTTCAGACTAATATTCGAAATTCTAATGAATGGAACTAATTAATTTTTCAATATAATATTCAAAAGCCAATTGAATTGAACTAATTAATTTTCCAGACCAATTACTAAAAGCCAAAGGGAGAATTCTCTAAATAGGAGTAAAAAGGTTTTGAAATTCCAAAACAGGATTATCATGTTTTTTATTCCTTAAATAGAAGTAAATTTTTATTAAGTTTGACATTACCAGACTTTAAAACATGAATTTTTTTCCCAAACTTGACGGTTACTCTTATTCAAGAAATAAAAAACATGATACTCATATTTTAGAATTTGAAAACGTTTTGCACCTATTTAGAGCAATTTCTAAAAGCCAAACATCGAGAGTATAAAAAATTTAACACAATTTGTATTGAAAATTTTTAACTAGAGTATCCCCCATGGAATCGTCGAACTTAACTGTATTTGTTGCATGGTGAATATACTTCCACAGGACCAACTTGACAGATGTTTATAATTCGGCATTTTCTATTATTATATCAGAACGAATGAAACACTATATTAATATATACATGATATATATATACAAATAATTATATGTTTTTGAGCATGGGCCTGGGCCAGATCCGCCCCTGACTGTGCGGGACTGGCCTGGTTGCCTGGTACCGGGCTCGGGCTTTTGACCCGACCCAGGGGTGTTTCGGTGGCAGTTTCGGGTCTGAGAATACATGGACCTAGGGATGGACCCGGTCCGGTCCGGTTCCGGTTCCGGGCCGGGCCCGGGCGTGCTTTTTTTTGTAGAATCATGGGCCCGGAATTGGCCCGGGGTGATACCGGGTCCGGTCCGGGTTGTGGGCCGGTTCGGGCCGGGCCGGGCCCGGGCTATTTTTTTTTTAATTCAGATTAGTTGGACATAAAAATTTAAACTGTATTAATTTGAAATATGTAGTACAATTGGAAATTGAGCAAAAATTACAACATGAAATACACTTTTTAATAAATAAGAATCAATCAGAATTTCCGCCATCTTCAGTTGTTTCTTCCATAAAGTGGTGGGTGAGTTTAATGCTAATTTCTTGAGTTCTACGTTTGGCCTTCAACCAATCGTGGAAGCAAACAAGCGTCTAAAACGAGGATCAAGAATAAATGCAATACTATATATATGCGGAATATAGGAATAATATTTTAAAAACTTTTGTTTCATGAAGTCACAAAAATAACTAATGTAAGTGGCATCAACAAATTCACAAAAAGCGCCAGCGAGATTAACAGCTTCAACAAAAAATTGGTTTGCGGTAGGTTTATAAACATGACTAAAAGTTTGAGTTGCATTATTAAAATACACCAAAATATTCAAAACTTTTTCACAAGTGTCGATGTCGGCCGGGTTTATAATATAGTTAGCATATTCTTTTAAAAAAGCAGGAAAATGGTTTTTAAATCTAATAAGCACCTTAATTAAGTTATAAGTACTATTCCAACGAATAGACAAATCTTTAGGAAAAGCACAATATTTGACACGTCTTTCTTTCAAATAATTTCTCCATTGCATCTTAAGTTGAGAACTAGCCCAAATAAGTTTAATCCCCCCCTTCACCACCTCCATAGCATCTCCCAATGGCGCTAGGCCCTCCTTTACACATAACTTTAAAACATGACATGCACAACGCTGATGAAAAAACCTACCCATCAAAGAAGATGAACCACACAATTCACGCAATCTAGGAATAGCAGCAATATTATTAGTAGCATTATCAAAACCAATTGCAAACACCTTATTAATCAAATTATACTCAATTAAAATACACTCAATGAGAATATAAATATTATCACCGGTGTGTCTATCATTAAATTCACGAAAAGCAAGAACACGTTTATGCATACACCAATCATCATCAATATAATGTGCAGTCAAACCCAAATAATATAAATGATGATGAGTATCCTCCCATATATCACTACATATACTAACACGTCCATCAAAGTTTGCAAAAAACGTTTGTAATTTTTGCTTTTCCAAAACATATTGCCTTATAACTTCTTTTTTAATTGTTTTGCGACTATAGTTTCGAAATTGAGGATTTAAAGAACCTTGAGCATATTCTTTTAAAGCAAGACTTTCAGAAAAAATAAAAGGCAAAATTTCTTCAACAATTAAATGAGACATACCAGTCAAATGTCTTTGATCATCATAGGAGAAATTACCAAAGGGTTGGCCAGTTGCAAACCTTGAAATTTGTGTTTGCCTTCCCTTGCCTTTGTCCGATTTCACATATTCCGCCGGGTGCTTAGCCTTAAGATGCCTTGTGGCGCTCCCGTACCCTCCAGAAATTCCCAAGTTATACTTTTTGTTGCAATGCTTGCAAGTGCCGTACCATATCTCGGTTTCGAGGTCTTTAACTTTTGTAAAATTTGTCTTAAAGACAGATTGAGATTTCCCACCGGCTTGGGAAGAAGTAGCCACTTCCGCTTCCTCTTCCTCATCATCCGGTGTGCCATGATCCTCGTCCTCGACCGTTCGTGGATCCCTCTCCTCCGCATCATCATCCTCAAGCTCTTCTTCGTCAATGGTTTGCGGGATGTCTTGTTGATGAAAAAAACGTCCTTGATTTTGTTGCAATAGTTGTTCTAGTTGCTCATCGGACATCGCATCCTCATATCTTTGGTTGTAATCCGCATCAAAATCATCTCGGGTTTGAGATGAAGACCCCGGCCCTCCCTTACCTTTGCGTGACCTTGGATGATTCCTCGCAATCTCCTTTGTTCGGTTGCGGCGGAGGTTACCCATATCTACAGAAGCTCTACCACGCTCCATATTAAAAATATAACAAATATTAAATTCGAATGACAATTAAGCAATTA